AACATTTTTCTAATCAAACGGGTATCGAACGTAGTATACGCGTGATCGATAAAATGAAATTTAATTTGGAATCCGATAAATATAACAGCCTGAGCGCCTTGACACGATGTCACGTCAAATGAGATTCACATCCCACGGCATATTAACAAGCCCACAATCCGTAACGGATGAACATTTCGGGATTTTCATTAAGCTTGCGTTGCATAGTCTGTATCACGTTCGTATTAAGGCAAACATCAACATCGTAATCAAGATCGTAATTATTATCATTGAAAATACGAAACAAACAGCGACCGGTGGATGGAAATAAAGCGATTCCCGTCGAAGCTAGTTATTTCGTTAATTTTAACTCCCACGTCGTGCGATCGAACACGAGTAACGAGTTAACGGTGTATACAGCTTGAATGAAATGTCAGATATTCTTATTAGAATATCTATTAATTTTGTAGCGACACGCACAACGTTTCCGCAACTATGATGCCGAAAGAGACAGGTGCATTGATCGCGAATATTGACAAGCGTGAAATAATTATCGACGAAATATTCAAATTAATTGCGTATGATATTCTCAATGCCGTCATCCTTGCCAATAATACGATATCTGTTTATTATCGCCTCATTAATTCCGATACATGTTTAACGTGAAGCTACACGCCATTGTGTTAGTCTTATGTGCTACGGGCTAAAACGCCGAGTTGCGATGAAACAGCGGCCAACAAACGTCCAAATGTATGCAGATTTATACGGTACGCGTAATTCAACTCCGCCGCCGATGAATATAGCAACAACCCTAATAGAGGGGAAAACACGGACGGAAGCACGAGATCCTTGTTACAACTAATAAAAAAACAAACGTCTCGCTCTGAGTCATTTGACAAACGAGTGATGACGGTGCGCCTTTTCGGAGGGTGAATTTAAATATGATCGATTCGTCGAGACGAAGAGAGAGAGAGAGAGAGCATGTGTGTGTGTGTGTGTGTGTGTGTGTGTGTGTGTGTGTGTGTGTGTGTGTGTGTATGGAAATTCAGATACACGTGTACAAAAGAAACACATTTAATTAAACCGATTTAATTAAATCACTTTGAGAAATAACGTTCGGTCAAAATTAAAATCGCCCACCAAAGATACCGCGTGCTTCTTCCTTTTATTTCTACATTACCGTTATCACCATGTGCACAGTCGATTATGGAAAGAATGCGATTGCGCCCCCGCGCAATGAAACCCCCGCGGGACCTCTCCCAATATTTTGCAATATTTATACCGAAGAGAATTCTTGGTTGTTTCGCTCTTTATATACGCGGATCGTACGCTCAAAGCGCGTGCAAGTCGCGTACGCTTTGAAGAAATAGTTTTACGCAAGAATTTTACGTAAAAATTTACAAAACACACAGAAACACGGATAGACGCGTGTTCTCTTCGTATCTGAAAACATATATACCGGTTATATAATTTCGACAGCAGTAACTCGTGGAAAAACGACGAGTTTTTGCACGCTGGAGGCTCAAAATTCGCGACACATTTCATCGTTCGAGACGGTGAAGGCATAAGGTAGGAGCGTTCAATGCGAATTTCTCGTCCCGAACATCGTCCCCGTGAAACATGGATAGCGGAATTCCTCGGAGACGTATTCCTTTATCTGTGGACTGCTCTTTTTCTTTTTACTCGTTTACATATTTATACGACAGTATCCACCCGCCTCCCTGATATTTATGATCTCGCGCGACGTACACGCGTTGCACGCACATCGGTGAAACCGGTTCGAGATGTACACGCGGGACAGCGTTTTGTGTCACACCGAAACGAGAGGTCAATTCATTTTTTGTCCCTTCGATATATCACAATTTCAGAGCTTCTATTACTATTTCACGTCCTTCCTACTGTCTCTCCTCTCTCCTCCCCCTTTCACCAAACTGACCTATTTTAATCCTCCGCCAAGATCGTCACTGCCCACAATAGAGCGTAATAAGTTTGTAGTCGGACTGACTTGTGTGCGAATGGCGTGAATCGCACGTTACATTCCATGATTGCAAGGGTAACGGATATAAGAAGATAGATAGGGAGAAGAAGAGAGGTGTGAAGAAGTTGGTGAAAAACATCACCTCGACAAGTTGGAATCCTTAAAAGCAAGAACTAACTGTGCCATCTGTCAGAGGAGTTTCCGACCACACCTGTCTCTAGGAATTTATTGGCATTATGCAAAATCGGTAGGCGGGAAAGGGTTTAGCGATGAATAATTTTCTTCCGACGCGGCGCGCAACGCAGCTGCTTCCTTTTTTCGCTTCCTATCTCGCCTTTATTGATAACAACCCTCGACGGCTGCATTACTCAACGTCACTCGTTGCCAACTCGGAACTTAAGTGATGTCTCTCCTCTGCGAGGGGAAAAAATATAATTCAAATCTTTTCTTTTTACGCGCCGCTTGCTCTTTCCTCCAGAAATCGTAGCGATGTCTGACGTGACCTGACATCGTTCGATGAGCATGTTGCGGTAGCTTTCACTGAATTTATATCCCGCGCTTTTCTTTTCTCTTTCCCTTTTCCTCGAGGGACGTTCTGTGCGATGAGCAAAGTATAAATGAGAGAGAAGTGTCATAAAAGGCGATAATGACGTGCGTATAAAATTAATCATTTGCTCGCGATATAAAATACAATTGAAGGACACGATATCTGCAATCGTGCAACAGCGTATCTTCGTATATATTTCATTTATAATCGCATTTATTTAAGTAAACGCGACATATTGTCACACGCTTCATTGAATCTCCAATATCGCATATTGCGTACTTGGTAATATATTATAATACAGGCTTACAAAGGGGACGCCATGACAATAAGCTCAAATATGATAACGTTTGTCACATGGGAAAACTAATTAATCATACGTTGCAAAATTACGCCATTCCGTGGTACATGACAAAGTGCGACTCGGCGTCTCGGCGGGATGAGAGCTCTTCCTCGATAAATTTGCAACAATGAAGATACGGATGTTCTTACTTGAATTACAAACGGAGTATTTCGTTTCAGTAATTGCAAATGGCGCGATCTCGTTTTCCAAGCGTGTGGATGAGATTTTCTGTGAAAATACATGTAGAGCAGCCTTTTATCCTTGATCGCGCGCGATGCGTGCTATTCCTTTTACGGCTTGTATCGCTGCTCTTCTCGCGTAGTGCATCAAATATTTTTCCATCCTTCGTAGTCTTCCCTCTTCCGTCGACCGTTGAGATAGTCCAAACGTTGCTGATTTTGTTATGATTAATTAACGGAATCAAACGTTGACGAAAAGGTCACGTCAAATTCGAAGGAATAAAAATTGCGCATTGCGGAGCTCCGAATAATCTTTGACAATTTTTTTCCCTCGTCATTCGTTTTCGATATACTTTCCTTCAAAGCAAGTACTCCTCGTTGTCCGATTTTGCCATGCGAAGCATATTCGTAACGTTTAATATTAATTAATTAATCAACTAAAATATTCGAAATATGCTTCAATGGGGCTATTAATTTTGCTCCTACTT